GAGCAGCCCCAACAGTAATGCAATCGATGAATAGGGCTACGCATGACGGACATGCTAAAGAAGTTGCCACTCAAAATCATAACAGAGTCAGCAGCAGTCCGTTGAAAATTTACAATGTGATTTTGTATGTCTGATTCCATATATGCCGCAGAGGAAGGTCATGAAATCAAGTGTGTGGGTCACTTCTTGGCAAGTTGATTTCTTTCACCTCTAATCAAATCTTGAAAACACAAACGGCGATAGGGAATTGATGACGAGAGCAGGTTTTGGTGAAACTGGAAGCTTCTAGTCTTGAATCTGCGCGTTGGCGGTGAATTTAGTCATCAACGCCATCATCATAAAGGCAGCAATCAGCAAAGAAGAAATCCAATTCTTGGATACGAGACAAGGCCGACGAAAACGATTGTCCTTTCTTACGAAATGAAGCAGACTGGGACACTTAAACCATAACAATGAAGCAGACTGGGACACTTAAACCATAAAAATGAAGTAGATTGGGACAGTTAAACCATAAAAATGAAGCAGATTAGGACACTTAAACCATAAAAATGAAGCAAACTGGGACACTTAAACCATAAAAATGAAGCAGATGGGAAAGTTAAACCATAAAATTGAAGCAGACTGGGACACTTAAACCATAAAAATGAAGCAAACTGGGACACTTAAACCATAAAAATGAAGCAGATTGGGACAGTTAAACCATAAAATTGAAGCAGACTGGGACACTTAAACCATAAAAATGAAGCAGACTGGGACACTTAAACCATAAAAATTGAAGTTAAACCATAAAATTGGGACAGTTAAACAAAATAAAAAAATGAAGCAGACTGGGACACTTAAAAAAATCATAAAAACCATGAAAAATAAGACTGGGACACTTAAATCATAAAAATGAAGCAGAAACCATAAAAATGAAGGACAGTTTTAAACCAAAAAATTGACACTTTCAACCGGACTGGGACACTTAAATCATAAAATGAAGCAGACTGGGACATTTAAACCATAAAAATGAAGCAGATTGGGACATTTAAACCATAAAATTGAAGCAGACTGGGACACTTAAACCATAAAAATGAAGCAGATTGGGGAAGCAGAACCATAAAAATAAAAAATAAGCAGACTGGGACACTTAAACCATAAAAATGAAGCAGACTGGGACACTTAAACCATAAAAATGAAGCAGACTGGGACACTTAAACCATAAAAATGAAGCAGATAATATAAACCATAAAATGAAGCAGACTGGGACACTTAAACCATAAAAATGAAGCAGACTGGGACACTTAAACCATAAAAAATGAAAAAGTTATGGGATACTTAAACAAAAAACAGAAACTGAAAAATTTTAGTCTATGTAAACCATAACAATGCAAAAGTGTTTATGGGATACTTAAAAATGAAACACTACGTTGCTAATACCATAAAAATTGAAACAGTCTGTGATATTTTAACAATAAAAATAATAGTGTGTAAGGCTATTTGAAGTAAAAAAAAAGCGTTGAACCGCTTAAAATTTAGATTCACGTTTTGTATTTTTCATCTCGGTTTTCATTTTGTGAAAATCTTTTCCGATGACACCGGATAGCAGGCGAAACATATCAAGATAAATTTTTCCCCAAATTGTCTTAACATATTTACGATTCCAATTTTACTCTCAAAGAATTCCATGTGATTTAAGAGATCGAAAGTATTAATAAAACATTTCCCATTGAACTTAGACATTCCTTCCTACCAAAATACATGTATACATCGATACATGTATACATGTATACATATATACATACATCGCACACTCACGCACACGTACGCACATATGTATGTGTGTATGCGTATAATATTGCACACATACGTAAATGACTATGGGTGTTGATGAGTGCTCATGTAGATATTTGCTTAGTCTAGTCTGGCATGAGACGAGAACAGAAGGGCACCTGGGAAGTTCGAATTTACTGTACTAAAGTCAGATCAGTAACAGGAGGTTATTTGGTACCGCTCTACGGAAGATATCTCTTCGTTGATTGATAGGAATATAATATAGAATCATTTTCTCGCGCCCACTGGCCTATACACACACACACACACACACACACACATATATATATATATATATATATATATATATATATATATATATATATATATAACCGTTTAAATGTGCTAACTCACTCATGTCTTCTCTCTCCCCCTCACTTCCTCACTTCGTTAATTTACATATGTTTAATACGGACCGTCAAAAATGTGTAAATTTTCTTTTCATTTTTGTTTGGAAGTAAAGTCTGATGATCCAGAGTCCTTTTAAAAGGGCTGTGGTGAAATAATTTATTACATGGAACCTTAAAATTGGTCTGTTTTTATTTAAATTTTATATTATATATATATATATATATATATATATATATATATATATATATATATATATATAATAGTACAAAATATTATAATCATCGTCCCAAACCAACATAAATTACTAAATAAACGATCAGATCTCATCTGAAAATGTCGGCGCGAAAATAAATTTTTACTACGTTAAATCGAAAACTAAAATCGAATACCTTGTAAAATGCCACCATGAAAAATGCAATTCTCTATATATACAACGCAGATAATGCAACATATGTTAGAAAACGCCAATACTTTAAATTAAAAAAAAATATCACCAACCCTCGAAAAAATGCACAATAAACTAAATAAGTGAATAAACAAATGAAATAAATAATAAAGAAATTAAAACAAAATGAATGTACAAATAAACACACGTTAATGGAATAATAATGATCAGCAACAGATATTTAAGTAGTAGATAATAAATAAAGAGTAAAAAGTTAAACAACAATATAAAATAGCTATAAATAACCGCATTCATATACAGTTATTTCTTTTCAGTAGACTCTAGAATATTTGAAAACATACCCGTTACGTCCACCCAATAACTGTTAGGATAATACAATATACCTCGTGACATTAACCAGCATATATAAATAGTTTAGGAAAAAAAAACAAAAAAACAAAAACAAACATGGCCTGAAGATTGCTTTCACGCATGAAACAGACTATAGCCAATTGGTTTTGATCTCAGTGTCCACATACGCTCTGTCTCTAATATTAAGCACTTTTAACCACGAATATAGCATATCGTAAAACTATATTTGTATCATTGCACACACACACACACACACACACACACACACACACACACACGCACACATATATATATACTGAAAACCATTTTTTTTTTGTAAAGTTAAAAATATACATTTTCATCCAACATCTTATTATTATTGTAAGAATTAGTTTAGTCCATGCATGTGGTTGAGAGGACATTCTCGTTTTTTAAACAGTGAAATTAATGCCCACTGGCCTAGATAACAGAAAGTGTTATCAAAGAAATTATACCTCTCAGGAGGCATCGAGTCAGCATTTCCTTTACCCTGGAAAAACGACAGTGAAATCGGGCAAATCACACCGATGCTAAAAGCTGTTTTCTAGGTTAAATCAAAGAGTCCCAACGTGGGGCGCATTGTCCCACCGGTGATGGTATGGTAATATTTTGGCGTGGAATGCGTAGGATATGTACCCTTTGGCTAACTACAATTTCATTTTGCATTATTATTTCATGATTATCAAAGTATATAACAGAATAAGCTTTCATTCAAATATTTTATATTGCTGTCTTTCAGTTCTCTATTATATGTTTTGAAACTATATAAATTTAATTGTCTTTTTGTTTTTTTAATTTTCTCTTTCATGGACGCCATGGTCTTTGGAGGCTTGTTCAAAGATCAAGTTAATGGCCTTTTTAGCTTCCTTCGCGTGAACTGCAGTAAAATTTTGAATATATAATAATTCAATATTAGAGGGCGGCAGCAGAATTTTAGAAATACCAAAGTGGGGCATGGTCCCAAAATCGGTTAGTAACCACTGGTTTAAAGGGTATGAAGGTTCGATCCTAACCGAGAAAAACATTTTCTTTATTAAATCTTTCTGTTTTCTAGGCCTGTGGACATCCGCTTCACTGTTTACAAAAAATGAATTTCCACTAAAATGCGTTTATCCACTAAAAAGGTTGATAATGATAAAAAGTATATGTGTATTTATGTGTACTTATGGGCACGTTCGCATTCTAACCACGAGACCCGGGTTCGAATCTCACTGTTGTCGATTGTCAGGAAGGAGACTTCCTGATGTTATCCCAGCGTGCGGCACCTTTGGAAAATATCTGAAAACTATACCATGGGTTGACCCTAGCCTTATGAATGAAATTGGGTAGACGGAACCCTTGGAGGACGTCGATAGCTGTGCCGAGGGCTCTAGCGTGCTGGTTTTGTTCAAATTGTTGATCACGCTAGATAACACGCTCTCTCCCAGAAACTGTAACTAAGGTCTGCTCAGAATAGTTGCAATATAAACCACAGGTGGGCTCTGTGGGTGTTGGACAAGCACAAATGTGCCTGAGCAAGCGTCTGCAATATGGATTGACTAGTCCTTAAATACGGGTGGCCAGTATGCATTAGTTCTCCTTGATTATGAAAGCTTCACGTTAATACCCGGAAGAGCGATAACCGTGGATGTGAGAAACCTCATTTTCTGAAAAATTATTGTAAGAGAAAGATTTTATAAATTACATCTGACAATAGCGCAAAATGTTTCCGTATAAGGAAACGGCAAATATTATTATTACCCTTATTAATTTTAATAAATAAACCCTAGAGCGATACCTATCTGTGTTTATGCAACAAATTCGATTCTTACTGAGTGCTCCGCTATTGTTGCCTTGTGCCAGACTAGACTAATTTATATGCATTTGTACTGTTGGTTTAATAAATACATAAATCTTTTTTGTATGTGTGTGACGGTGTCTGTTCTGGTCTCGAAATTAGGTATTGATTTTCTGTCAATTGTTACTGCGCCTCGGCATTGCTCATCATTGGCTGCTGTTCGTAATATTTCGGTGACTTCTCGCCATAATTAGTATCTGCGTCCCCAACTCGGCAATCTTGAGTATGGATGGCGCTAAGCGACACAACTGTGCTGATGTCCGATGGGCGCGCGACGCCGTCGTAGCTACGGGAGCGTCCCCACTTCCTCTTCATTCTCGGTGGGAGGCAGCAGAGGCATCTGCTCCAGTTAATCTCGCTCAGACGTGATCTCTGCCATTTTTTGAGGATCTCGTGCTGAACCTGCAAGAAAGAAAATAAAAATCGAATTAATAATAATAATAATAATAATAGATGGGAAAATAACCACATAATAGTGGAATGTTACTCAGAAAAAGGTATAAAAATAAATGCAATATCAATCGTTATTTTCTGTTTTCATTGCTCTTCTTTTATTGTTCTCGCTACTTAAATAATTTATTTTCTTTTTTCTGATTCTTTTCACACTTGGTCACCCATTGTTTCTTAGTAATTTTATTCTCTTGCTTGGAGTGAAATGATTAAAAAGAAAATACTTGAGTGGGTAGGAAATATAATCAAATGGGAACTGGGAAAACGACTGTGATTTGATTTTGGATATAATGGTAGAAGCTTGGATCTTAAGAATGAAAAACACACGGTGACAGTTGTTCCAATCATGATTAGAGCACCGGGAACGATCCCGAAAAACCTAACGAAAAGAATAGAGAGACGAGAAATCCAACGAAAAGTCGATACCATCCTAACATATTTTTTTTTTTATTATCACTGAATTCTTATGAATTCTTGATAGTGGACATTTTCCCCCTTTGCTCTAACCATTATTTTAAAATTCAAAGTTGTTCTTCTCTTAGACTTCCTGCCACCAAGACAAAAGGATAATTGTCCTTTGTTCCTATTTAGCTTATCGACACGAGGTGGTGGAGGTGGTGGAGGACGGGAGTAATTGATTCATAACTCTCCAAATGGCGTTTGTATGAAGTTACTAAAAGAATAGAACAGGATTTTAATGACTCATCGAATTATTAAATGAACTATATATATATATATATATATATATATATATATATATATATATATATATATATATATATATTTTCAATCCAAGCAAAGCGGTAAAGTCATTAGGACGCAAAGGGGTCTACTGGGTTTGGTTTGGTTCGGTTTGTTTTACGGCATATCAACCTCAATGGGTTATTTAATGCCGACAAAATTTTTATTGCTGGTAATATATTTTTCTTCAAAAATCTATTTCCGGGAATATTTTTCCTTGAAGAAATCTAAAGCTGGTCATATTTTTTCAAACAATGTATAACTGTTTGTGTTACTGGTATTTTTTTAAAAGTATTGCTGATAATAACTTTTCCTTCAAAAATTATTGCTGGTAATAATTTTTTTATTACAAAGTATTTCTGGTATTAAAACCTATTTTTACACAAGTTTGGGTGTTAACTATTTGCCCATAGCTGGTACCCTAACAGGTGCTATCACCCCGGGTCAGGGTGGACCTGGGAACGCCAGCAATTAAGAGGTGGTTCCACGCTCCTCAAAACATCCTGATCAGAGGCCTTGCTGCTGGACGTAGTTTATCGTCTTACCTAGGACACGGTCTACTGGGAGTGAAAGAGAATAAGAAGACTTCAGTGAGGAGAAAGGACAATAAAAGACAGAAGATGACGATTGGTGTTACAGTTTTGAAGCTTGTAGGTGGCAGAGATAAAAAAAGACAGTTTCGCAGGCGAACATTACGAGAAAAAACTATTCGAATAAAACTACATCTAACTTGACAAAACGATGGGACCTAATTGCCAATCTAGCAGTACGCTTAAATTCATGCGGCCGAGGTACCAAAGATAAAGGTCACTAGAACAATTGCCATGAAAATATTTATAGAAAAAAACAGAGGGATGCCACGACATGGAAAAGTGACTGAAGTCGGGATGCCAGGTCAGGACCTATTATTAGCCGTTTCTCCATAAGGAAATATTAAATTTATATATTAAAGAAATACAAAAAAATTTACTCACAAGTACAGCGCACACATTACGAAGAGCTTTATCTATGTAAAATCTTACAAAAATGATCAATGGAAAATGTTTTCTAACCTTAGGTCTCTGGTTGGGACCCGGAAGGAAATGTATATCAAACAGAGATCAAAGGAAATACTAATAATAATAGTAATAGTTTCAAGGTGGAAGCACTGTTTGGCAGAGCTCAGGTGCTGGGGAAAGTGTTGTGTCTGTAAGTTATGTGCAGGAGCTGTGATATGATTAGCATCACTCGGCTGAGGCATTTGAATGTTGGAGAAGATATAAAATAACAATAATTGACTCTAACTCTACAATTAAATAGCAAAATTACAAATCAGAATCGAATCTGGTCATCGAACAGAAAAACATGAAATTTAGCTAAATACGTGAATATTGTCGATTTCGCCGATCACCAAATGAAACTGAATAAGAACTTTACGAAGACTTGAGGAAATTTACGATTTCGTTCTCAACAGTGTCGAATGTGAAAAAAAGGAATATGACTTGTATGGAAAAAGAAATTAAAATATAGGTACTTTTTTTATTGTTTAATTATTACAATGCTCAAGAATCTCCCAAAGGTAGACCGTTATTAAATGTGGTTGTTATAATGGCGTAAAGAGAAGTGTAAGCGGTTCATATTATAAGGATATGTATGATAGATAAATGGTGACCCTAGATTTGAAGACGTTAAGATTGGACTGATCAGGAAAGCATCTTCGTCGTAGTCTTTTCCATCGAATGACAGAAATATGTCTGAATGAAACATCGTCCTTACTAATGGAATATGAAAAGAATGAGGACTCCACTATGTGTACGTGTCATGGTGGGTCCTAGCTGTAAAGATCTGAATTGGTGAAACTAAGAAAATGTAGTCCGCCTGAACATTCACCATGAAAATAGCGAGATGATAGTAAACAAAAGGTTGCTAGTATCTCGCTATTTTGTGAGAAAGGGGTTGCAGAGTAGAAAATAATTAATGACTCACAATGCCGCGTAAACATCTTTGAATTTTGTTCAGGATTGAAAGAGCGGATTGGTCAGTTCCAGCTAAGATAAGCCAGCAATACTCTATTATTGGGATTGTTTTGGCTCTTGTAGAATATGACTCTGGTACTTTCTAGTACAGTGGGCTATGATAAGTTTTTAGCCACACTTAATTACAGCAATTTTGGCTTGTGTAATAACGTATCTTCTTTTTTTCAGACAGTACCGTGTTGATATCACGCTACTTTAATCTATGAACGATAGTTGATTTATATCTTGCAATGAAAGTTCGCGGAAGTAAGGAAATTCGTGAATAATAGGATGGCATCAGTGTGGCAAGTCAAATAGAAAATTGCTAGTTTTGTCCAGGTTAATCATCAAATGGTTAATAATATTGTCAAGAGATTCAATGAAGAAGGCCATTGTCGTGTGTAACAACGTTCAGGAAGACGAAGCATCGTGTCTGAGTGAACGAAAAGGGTGTTGAAGATGGAAGTCATCAGAAACCATCGTTAGAGATGTTGTCAACAGAATGGAAATGTCACCATATGCGGTGAGAAAGAGCTAGACTATCAAAGAAGAGTTGCAAGAAAGAAGCCCTTGATTTCAGAGGTTAACAGAAATAGGCGTATGGACTGGGTGAGAGAATTTGAGAGCAAAGATTATGAATTTTGGCAGTCTCTAATTTGGTCAGATGAAAGTAAATTCTGCTAGTATTCGAATTCCAGACAGGTTTATGTTTGGAGAAATCAGAATTAGACTGAATGTCTGCGGGCAACCGTGAAACATGGAGGAATTGGAATAATGGTGTGCGTCGCTGTCTGGTTTGGAGAGAAACCTGAGCTGATTCTTGTTGAGTGATTTAATGGTCCAAAATACTGTCAGATATTAGAGAAAGGGCTACTCCCACTATTTGAAACCAATCAAATTGACAAGAATGTCTACCTTTATCAAGAAGACGGAACGCCATATCCTGCGAGTAAAGTAGCAAAGGCTTGGAAAAATCGCAAGGAATCAAGTCACTGCGATGGGTAGTCTAAAGTCCTGACATGAATCCAATAGAGCCCGTTTGGGAGCACCTTCACCGAAGACTTCGAGAGTGTACAACCAAAATCATGTCAGTGCCAACTCTTAAAGAAACATTGCTAAAGGAGTGGCAAAATATGGATCGGTCGATTGTTGATAATTTGATCAAATCCATAAAAATTGAATACAAGTATTGAAATGAGCAAATATAGGACCTACTCTATACCACTTCCAAATACTGTTTATTTATGTTGATTACGTAATTAAATTTTGAAATTGGATGTAGTTTATTTCTCCTGACTAAAAACTTTTCTTAGCCCACTGTACAAGGAACTGACCATTTTCTAAACATCATTAGTGGTTGATTTTATTTACAAATTCCATAAGGTCTAGAGTGAGTCGTTCAAGCTATGGAACCATGGAATATCTTTGACGGTACAAACGTTCTTCAAGACTGGAGAAAATTCATGGTCGACTCGGCTAGGATGAAGCGTTACTAACTTTGTTTTGGAGGTACTAAATGATACAAGCCGGTCTCAACCCATCATCGTTCTATGAGGTCTCGGTCAGAGGAGTGAACAATTGCCAATCTCTGGTCATCTAGTGGTATCGTCTGCCAATCTCTGGCCATCTAGCGGTATCGTCTTCATATATATTTGCTAATGATCTGAGAAAGCGGAAAGTTGGTAAGACTGAAGCAAGACCCTCATGATCTTCAGAGGACTAACCATTAACAAGGAACTTCATGGAAATATCTGATAGAAAGAATTTCATAATTGAGATAACTCTTCCAGAAATTACATAGTTGGAGAGTTAGTGTAGAAACCCCTATGTCACACATTATCAAAGGCATTTGAGATATGTAAGGCGATCGATTTCTTGAATATATAATCAAACGTTTCTGTTGTAGTGTCATGATAGTTATGACATCAACAGTCAACCAAAAGAAACGAAATATGTATACAATATATCGCTTAGGAGATAGTGTAGGGGTTTGAACGGCCTCAATTCAACCTGTACATTGTGTAAGCAATCGTAAAGCAAACAAAAGAAACAACACAAAAACTGTTTCTATAACGACAATCTTCATTTAATTGCATGAAATACAAAGCAATCAAGTGTGTAATTTTTATATAGTAAGAGTTGTAATAATAGAGCAGCAGTTAT